GAATAAATAAATAAATAAATAAATAAATAAATAAATAAATAAATAAATAAATAAATAAATAAATAAATAAATAAATAAATAAATAAATAAATAAATAAATAAATAAATAAATAAATAAATAAATAAATAAATAAATAAATAAATAAATAAATAAATAAATAGATAAATAGATAAAAAATAAAAAATAAATAAAAGTTTAAAAAAAAAATTAAAAAAAAACCGTCTCCGTATCGAAAAGTTAACGAATCCGCGCCGGCCAAAGCTGGAGGACTAGACTCCATACAGCCTATGGAAGAAAAGAAGGGGGGTTAGGTGTCTGAAAGTCTTGAGAAACTCATTCAAGGATCCATCCAGCTGCTACGAAGGGGGACTCTTTCCATCCACCGAGATCGCAGTGTGTCTTGGTTCCTGACGGGGCAGAACAGCACTTGCGCAAGCTTCTTCTGTTGCGGGCTACAGGCGCTATCGGTTACTTAGAGAAGCTGGAGGAGACGGAAGGAGGAGACGATGATGAAGGCAAGAGGGTCAGTCAAAAGCGAGGGTTGTATCAAGAGGGGGGCACTATGTGCTTTCAAACAAAAATGAAAATAAAAATTCGGATAAAAATTGGAAATTAAAAAAATTAAGAAAAAATAGTATATAAAAGAAGATAGGATTAAAAAGAGATAAAAAGATGAGATATATATATATATATATATATAAATTCATATTCATATGTTATCTGGTTTCTATCTATGCAAAATTATCTACAGGGACTAAATACCCGCCATTCAACGCCAATTCCCAGACTCCCTCAAATCCCTACTCCTTGAATTAGCCTCCACTTTCCGCTTCCCTCTCCCCTCATAGTCACTTCAACCCAAAGCTCTCCCTCACAGCCACGCCGAATCTCTCAATAGCCTCCGTCATTTTATCCTCCGCAGCTGCGGCGAAGGTAGCTCTGAAGAACATCTCAGTTGGCGTGAAACCCTCGCGCTCAGCAAGAAACCACGAGCCTTTGGACATGAGCACGCCTTTTGCGACGGCGGCAAGGAATATCTCATCTTCGAGTTCGAGGATAGTCTTGGTTTTGGCGTGAGGGTGGGCGTGCCAGTCGAGTTTGAGCCAGAGCTAGATATCGTCAGCGTTGGGGTTAGGATGATGGCTGGACGTAGGCAGGAGCCAGGCGAAACAAAAGAACAGCAGAACATACAAACATCCCGGCGGCAGGCGGATTCCAAGACACAACCGCCTTCGGGAGAAATTTCTCACAAGCACCCAGTATGACATCTCTCCGGGTGGTATACTCCATTCTCAAATGGACCAACCACTTGAGATATCCATCGTGGCCCCAATGCTCATCCAGGAGCTTGTACAGCACAATCTGACTGATCCCACTTGGATTCTGCACCGAGGATTCATTGGCGCGCACGTATCTCTCAACGATCTGCTCAGATGCTGTAATCCACCCTACTCTCGTGCCAGGCGCGATGACCTTGGAAAAAGAGTCCATACGCATCACCCGCCCATCGGTGTCCAAGCTCAAGTACGTGGGAACGAGAGAAGAGAGGAATTCCTCGTTAGAAGCCGGGGGAGGGACGGCAGGAGCATCGGGGCCGGTGTACGGCTGCATTTGCAGAAAATAATACGGCTCGTCCTCCAGAATGTAGACATCGTGCTTTTGAGCCACCTTGTATACTTCTCTCCGCCGAGCCACGGACTGCGTTGCGCCAGTGGGGTTTTGGCCCGATGGAACCGTGTAGAGCACGAAAGGCTTACGGGCACCCCTCGCTTTCTCGTCCCAATTGCTCAGAATCTCGTCCATGCTAGAGGGCATTAGACCTTCAGCGTCCATGGCAATACCGACGGCCTTGATGCCCAAAGCAGCGGCCGTCTCGATCGCAGAAGCAAAAGCGTATTCTTCGCAGAGGATCATATCGCCACGCTCGCAGAACATGCGGAACGCCATATCCGTCGCAGAGGTGCTTCCCACGGTCAACGCGCATTGCCAGTCGGCATAGGGTGGATTGCACACAATCTCCGTATGCTCCGTGACGAATCGTATCATCTGCGCCGACCCCGTCCCTAAGCCATAGTTCAAGGCAATCGAGAGGTCGTAGATCCCGTCTTCGGTCTGCGAGGCATCGTATTTGCCGGCTGCGAGGGTTGTTCCAGATGCTTTGGTCGAGGCTTCCGAGAAGTGGGGGACGGTGGGCACCTTGATGCTGATCTCTTCAAGGGGGAAGTTGGCGGGGAGGGGGAGACCGCCGCCCAGGGAGATGAGGCCGGGGTTCTTGAGATAGACGGCGGCTCCTTTGAGAACGGAGGGTTGGCGGGCTTTGCCTTCAACGCTGATGTAGTCTGTTTGTTGAGTCCGATGTTAGACTGAGGGATGGATGTCAATAGTGGGGGGTAAGGCAACAAACTCACGATCCCATCGCTTTGCTTTCGGCTTGCCAGCGACCTACAGAGCATACATAAGATGAAAGTCTCCTTTGGATAAGACCTTGAAACCTACAGAGCTCTTGAAAAAGTCACTGCTGCTGTAGGCAGCTGTGCCTGCAACCAACTTCCCAGCTTTGGTGCGCCTGGCAGCAATATCCTGAACAGTCGCAGTCGCGGGATCAGGAATGATGACAGTGATGGCCTCGGTATCGGTGAGGGCCTCAACTCCCACCGCCGCAGGGGGTGCCATGGTAGGAGGTTGGAGGTTGGAGGGAGAGAATAATATGAGAGAAAGGTAGCAAGAGAAGAGGAAAGGGACTGTAGAAGAAAGAGATTCAAGACCTACAGACGGAGTACCAGAGTGTGTGGGGTATCATTTCGTAGCACGGAAGCTGATTTACTCCGTATACCGATAGCGGACCGGACTGGAAAAGACTAGACCAGACCAGACCAGACTGCACAAGAGTCTGGCCTGGTTAAGCTGAAGCGGCCGAAGGAACTCATCTCGCATAGAGAAATTCAGCCGTGACTGGAGAAATGAAAGCGCGCAGGTGCAAGAATGCGAGCGATATACCTGTTGAACACACGGTGGAACCAAAGTCCCGCCGTCGATTGTTGAACATCAGTAAGCGATAAGCGATAGACGATAAGCGATAGGCGATAATCGATAACCGATAAGCATACGGAACAAGCAAGCAAGCAAGCTCTGAGTCACGCATAAATGACCCTTACCCGGGACATGCAGTTTGGAAACAAATAAAACGGAAATGGAAGTCTATAATTTACAAAGCTGAAAAAGGCCTTCTTGCATACGGAGAGATCGTCCCATTTCTCTACTTATCTTATCCTCATATCCAACTCTTTCCATAACAGCTGCTAAGCAAAAGATTTCTATCTGATTAAAAGGTCAATCGAGAAGCTTGGATACGGACCCATGGAGTTGAGATCTGCCCAGACTCGCTCTCATCGTAACTCGCCCTTTTTAAAGAAACTCGATATAAGCTTACATGATATTCGCTTAAACAAGCGTCAGAGCTAGGCCCGCCTAGGGAAAGCGTGCATTAGCAGGCAGTCGAATATAGATAGAAAAAAAATTCAGGCGCCATGGAGGAAGTAAGTCTCGCATCAATGTCCATCTTCCAAAAAGATAACACTGGGGGAGGAATCTGTAACGACAAAAAGAAAAGAGAAGCTTCCAATGGAAACCTCGGGAATTGAGCCCGAGGTGGGGCTCGAACCCACGACCTTGAGGTTGACTTATTTAACTGCTTAAGAGCCACACGCTCTACCGATTGAGCTACCCGGGCGGGTATCTTGGTTGATGTTACGTTGAGGCTGAAAGTATTTATATACTCATACCATAAATTTTTGTCCGCCACCTCATCTTGGTAGACTTATCCTACAACCTAGCAAATACTCAGCAACTTCCTATTTGGCTAGCACTTGGTGAATCAGAGATGACTCCTCCTTAGGCGTTGAAGCTGAAGGCTATGCAACATGACTCACAATGAACCATACTGTTTAGATTGGACCTCCGTACCTATAAGCGAAGTCACGCCACTACTCAGAGCCGTTGAGATACAAATACTGGATTCATTCTTATACTTATTGAAAGAACCAAACACGACCAAAAGAACGGAAAAACTCAAATCTTGGTTCTTCAACGACAAACAAACCCGCAAACAAGGAACACCAACCAAGCACCAATAATGCCGGACGCGAGCTCTGCCATCACCACAGGCGCAAGCCCGACAACCATGCAGGAGAAAGAGATAGACTATGGCTGCCAAACATGCCTCGTCCACTTCTCAAGCAAAGAAGAGCAACGAGCACACATGAAAGAGAATTGGCAGTATGCCTCCCTCACCTTTCCTCTGGATTCAATCAATTGACCAATCATAACAGCATCTACAACCTCAAACGCCGCATCGCCTCCCTCCCTCCAATATCCCCATCTCTATTTTCCACATTGAACGATGCGCGAAACGAAGATGGAGAGAAGGAGAGCCAGCACCCGCATGATCTTTTCGAGCAAATCTGTGCGGCGTGCCAGCAGACGTATACGAGTCGGAAAGCCTGGCAAAGTCACCTGAAGTCTAGGAATCATGTTTTGACGGTAGAGGATGCCGACTCTGGCCTGATGGCTCCGCGCGATGCTGCTTCTGAAGTAGCTTTCGATCGAGCTGAACTTTTAGACGTCTTAGATGATGCGGAAGTATTCGACGCGTCCAAGTGTCTGTTTTGCGCCACCGTCTCCCCGTCTCTCGATGCAAACATTGGGCACATGTCCCACGCCCACAGCTTTTTCATTCCGGACGTCGAGGCCTTGATTGACATCGAATCGTTTCTCGAGTATCTGTCGAGAATTATCTCCGACTTCCACGAGTGCCTGTACTGCGGGAGCGAGAGAGCCAATCGTGTTGCGGTGCAGGACCACATGCGGGCAAAGGGGCATTGTAGGCTGGAGATGGAGGAGGATGTGTTAGAGTTGAGAGAGTTCTATGAATTTTCTCGGGATTCTGATGAGGACGAGGAAGAGGAAGGGGAAGAGGACGGAGAGGTTAGGATCAGAGGAGAACAGCAGGATGTGACAATCACGATTTCCGCCGACGAAATCCGTCTTCCCTCTGGCAAAATATTACGGCATCGTTCCTCGCAGCAACAGCCTCGACGACAGCATTCGCCGTCGGGCTTATCAACTTCGCCAAATCATCTTCCTCAGACCAATCCGATTCCACATTTTCCATTCGCCAATCCCGTCCTAGCCTCGAATCTCACCTCGGCCTCCCACTCTGAGCCAGCCTCTCGTCCTCAGACCACTGCCGACCGCCGCATCATTCTCAAGCCCGGTATCTCGACTTCTCTTATGGGCGTTTCGGATCAGCAACAACGCGCTCTGCTCGCCACGGAGAAGAAAATGCAGACGGTAGATACGAGGGCCAGGAAGCAGTATGAGCGTAAGGTGGAGAGGGGTGGAAATAGGCAGAAGAGGTTTAAAGTCTGTTCTATTGGAAAGAAAGCTGGGGGGTTGGAGAAGAGGAATGGTTGAGGTTGCGTGAGTGAAGTGGTGAAGTAGTGAAGTGGTGAGAGAGGTTTTGAAGATGGAGAATTTGAGTCTATGGTTGGTGGCTCTCGAGCTTTAGGTAGACGGTAGCCTCGTATATTGGAATGAGAAAGTGGCACCAATGCGCTGGCTACAACTTCTCGTCACCTAATCAGGAAAGCACGAAACCGACACCTCCACGACCACGACCGCGCCTTCTTCTCCAACGATCTAAGCCAGCCAAACGATCAAAAACTCCTTGCAAGTCTTCTCTACCACTCACTCAGAACTTAGAGCAACCCTTTCCATCTTTTCCCCCAATTCCAACAATATATATTCCTAACATACGATGGCACAGCAGAGCAGAGCACAACAGAGCACAGCATAGCATAACAAAGCATCGCGTAGCATGTCTCAGAGAACATTCAAAATCGCCATTATAGGCGCCGGTCCAGCAGGCTGCATGCTCGCCTGCTTGCTCTCCGAGTCCACCCCACCGCCAAACACCATCATTGACATCACCATCTTCGAGGGGAGTGCCCGGGAATATATTCCCCTCGAACGATGCTCCGTGAAGCTTCATCCGCGCTCTGGGCTTGCAGCCATAAAAGCCGGCGGCCTGTACGATGGTTATTTCTCGAGACTTGAGCGCTCAGACGGTTCGGCCCTTTGCGTCTGCGACAAAGATCACAAGACGTGGTTCAGGGCAAAGGCGAGCATGGAAGGGGACCATGAGATCGATCAGTCCAAGCTGCGAAATTTTCTCTACAATACTTTTCACAGGGACAAGGTGCGGCACGAGGAGATCGACGGCGAGCTCATGATCAGAAACGTGCGTACTCAGGGAGAGTTGGTCAGGTGGAGGTCCAGACTCGTACGCGTGGTAGAAGAGGAGCCCGAGGAAGGGAAGAGTTACGGCTTGCCGATGTTGCACTTTGGATCAGGTGAAGTGATTGGTGGCTGGGACTTGGTTGTCGGTGCTGATGGCGGATGGAGCGTGACCCGGAGGTATTTGGATCCTTCGCAAGAGCCACGCTACTCAGGCATATCGAAATACGTTTTCAATATTCCTGCATCATCGAACAACTTAGATTGGGCATCACCATTGGTGAAAGGAGGCTCGCTGTTTGCGTTTGGAGAAGGCAAGAGCATCTCTGCACAGAAACTAGGGGACGGCAGCTTGAACGTTGGTGCCTTCTTGAGGTTCGATTCTCCTCCATTAAGTCAAAGCTTGACGAAGAATCAAATCTTGACCCAGTTTCAGTCCTGGAGTCCTGTGCTCATGAGGCTTATTCAGAGTGGGCAGTCGGTGCCTCAGGTTTACCATCTCCATCAATTGCCTGAAGACTTTCGCTGGAACCACAGGCCCGGAGTGACACTCGTCGGGGATGCAGCGCACCTCATGACCCCGACAGTCCTCCTATTCGCAGGAGAAAGTGTGAATCTGGCCTTTGAAGATGCCTGGAAGCTCTCTCAAGCCATATTATCAGGCATCCCTGTTGGAGTAAGAAATTCTTACTCTATAAGGTCTGTGCTGTTGCTGCTAAGCAACTCTAGAAGAGATGGATAGTGACTGCTAGTTGAAAGAATGAATAGCTAGCTAGCGTAAAAAGAGAACTGTATACAGTTCTCTTCCTCGAAAGAGATCTTCTCTTTTTTAGATAACCGAATAATAACACAATTGTAACCACCTTCTGCTTCTTAATCACAAGGAAGAATTATCTTCTTATAAGTTATAAGCTTTTGATGCTTAAAAGGTGACGGAACACGCAACTCGCAATACGCAACCCGCAAACTCGTCAATTGACTTGAGTTCTCGCTTTATGCGAAATACTACTTAATAGTAATAAGAAACCAAGACCTCTCCCCTTCCCCTTCTTTATTAAACTATCGATCGTCGCTCCGCATCAATCTTTTATTAATTTATTAGCATAGCTACTACTCGAGAAAAATTCGTTAAAATAAGATAATAGAAAAGCGTAAAGACTCTTACCAAATCGAATTCAAACGAATAGTTCGAGACTATCGAGACGGTCGCACAAAGCGAAGATGTCGCTTATTTATTAGACTACTCGGAATCCGAATACTGCTATACAACAATTACTAAAGCACTTTTGCAAAGATACGATATCGGTGATAGCACTTAAAAGGTCTTGAAAGGACTCGATAAAAACGAATACGATAAATTGATATACGAGAATAAAAGTCTTTTAAAAACATTTCGAGTTAAGACAGCGAAATTCAAATTCAACCTCTTTCGGAAGCTTAGCGAGTTCGATCGTTAAAAGATTAAAGACCTCTTTAATATCAAATCTATAATGCAAAAGCTAAAGACTATCTACACCGCTATTATATTCCGATCTATACAAATCAAGCTTTAAGCTTTTATTAATTTTCGTATAGATCTTAAGATTTCTTTTAGCAATAACTAAGAACGCGTCTTAATATGCCGCCGGGAGGCTTATAAAGATTTAAAGAAAGACTAATTCGACGATGATTATTGTTAGTTGATCTTTTGCATTAGACTCGTTTTTTTAAAGACATACACGCCGTTATATAATAGCTTCACTTCTTTTATAATAATAGATTAAAAGCTCGAACGTTTAAATGAAAAATAAGAGTTTATTATTAATTTAAAGCCTTAAAGGAAAGCATTTGCAGCTTATTATTCAAGTGACGAAAGAGCTTATATAACTAGCTGATAAACATTTTATAAACGAACTCTTTTAAGCCGGCAATCACGCAATCGCTATTAATCTTAATCTCTTAACTTTAAAGCGGAATGCTTTAAATGCGGTTTTAGCAAGCATGCTAGTCTTATATACTAATTCGTTAAGATTAGTTTCAAGGCTGTTAAAGCTGCTCGCATTTTTAAAGAAAGAAAAGAATTTAATAAAGCTTCGCGGATATACTAACCATTATTGCTTAAAGGACGACCGATATCTTTTAACTTTTCGTACAAAACCAACTCTTTACTACTTTACGAAAAGTCTAATTAGCGTGCTCGAAATAGATTTAATAGCTTTCGCAAAGATAAGAAAAGATTCGCTGCTGATATAAGATCCGACTTTTTAAGCGAAGCTTCTGTGACGAACTGATGAATTCTGACCTTAGAATACAAAGTGAGGAGAGGAAAACAGGAAGCTCAGGAGAGCTCAAGAAGGTCTATATACATGGCCACAGGCGCTAGGCCTGAATGGGTGATCAGCTGACTGCAAGTAACAAGGCAGGCTGTCACACTACCCCCTTAGAGAGCTGTCCCAGCTCTCTTAAAAGTATCTGACAGATGAAGGAAAAAATAAAAAAATTCAA